TGATGGGATACAAGGATTCTTTCAAGATTAGTATTTTCATCCTCAGTGGCACATTAAGATTGTGCTCTGTAATAAATAATGTTAAAAGTTTATGAATTATAATTTCGCTTTTACCAGTTCTCTACTGACTGGTTGCAATTGTTTAGAACTTTAACAGAAAAAAATAGAGGAAAGGGGTGTTTCATTTTATGAGTTTTATTTTCTAATTTTTGATGTTTTAAATTTTCCGAATTTTTTTGGCAGGTCGATCTATTCTTCTACAGGGAGCCTGAGGAAGCTAAGGAACCAGAAGAAGAGGAAACACCTGCTCTTCCAGATTATGCTGATTATTCTGCAGCTACAATTGTCGGTGATTGGTCTAGCAGCCAGATACCTGATGCTCAATGGGCTCCCGAGATGACTGGTACTTTGCCACCTGTTGCAAGTGGTTGGACTGGAGAAGCCGGTTAGTATCCTCTACTGTACTTGTGAAAGTGACCTGAAATTAGTGTCTTTTCCATGCCTTCTTGGCATTTTGGTAGCATAACATTTTTTCCATCCCTTCTCGTGATGAATTCTTACATTCGTTTTGTGAGAAAGGGCATATTATTGTTGTTTGTCTTGTTTGTGGCAACGAAGTTGTGCTAGCATAGAACTCCTTTGGTCTTAGTTTGAATTTGCGTGCATCACATTCAGTTGCAGAGGTAGCTACTGATGGATGGGACTCAGCTGCTGCACCCTCGGTGGCAGCTCCTGGAGTTGACGTAATTCCTCCTGTTGCTCCAACTGGATGGGACTAAATGAAAGAAGAAAAAAAAAAAAAATTCTTCAACTACTGGTTCCTTGAACAATTTTGATTTTATATTGCCCTCTTAATGAGCTTGGACATTGTTAGACTTCTGTTATAAATGGTTTTGTTAAAATCTGAGTTTTTCATTTTTCCTCTTTTTGTAGCCAGAAGAAACCCTTTCGTGGTTTGGTGTTATTCGATTTTTATTCAATACATGGTTAGTTGAATTTTACGGTTTGATTTGTGCTTTTAATCTTTCAATGTGCTCTTTCTAATTTAGTACTTTAGCTTATGTTTAGTAAGAAACAAGTGGTATATAAGTAGATAGTATTGTGAATTCACAAGACGTGGATAAAAAGTGATTTGAATTTTAGGTAGCGTAAAAAACACGTTTATAAATATTTGCCAGATATGCTCTTAGAAATATGAGAAAAGTTTCGGTAAGATGGTCATATATGTTCGTGTGGTAGGACCATTTATTTAAATCAAGACCACTTCATGTCTTGAGCCATTTAAGTCATGATATCTTGACATCTGCACACTTTCCTTATTCCTAAGATAAGTAATTTGAGTGAATCAAGGTTCAAAGTGTTGTGATTTCAATGAACAGTTCTATCATTGTCCCATTGAGGTCGACCGCCCAGTTGAGGAATGTACACAATGGCAAAGAGCTGTTGGTTTTGCCCATGCCCCTCAATTTACAATCTTCTCTAATTCTAAACTTATTGTTAGCATAACATTGCATTGTATTATGTAGAATTAAAAGTATGCTGCGAATCGATTGGGACGTGTTAATGCTTTTCGAAATGCCTAGGATTCATTCAATTAATAGAATATGGAAACAAGTCTCAAATCTTTAATTTAAGCCTTTGTAAATTAATTAAAGGGTCTGATGCATTATAGATCTTAAATCATTTATATTGGACCTTTTTTTATGCTTCAAAATAAATTATAAAGGGCTTTGCAACATGTGATTTCTTTTACTTTATGCTTTAAATAATGTTGTCAAAATCGGTCCGGTCCAAACAATTCGACAGGTAAAACAGGGAACTGGGCCCAGAACCAAGCCAATCACTGATTATCTAAACTGCTTAAAAAATCACCGAACCGGCTAATTAAGTTAAAATTTGGTCACAGATTGTGGTTTTCCCAATTTTTTTCTTTAAAGATATATATATATATATATATTTTTTTTAAACTTCATGAAATAGGTCTCATAAACTATATAATTCAAAAACTTAAAGAGAAATATTGGATGACATGCTCTTTTTATAAACAATAGTGCTACACGTACAGGAAAAAAGTCGCAGAATTTGTACAGGTATTCAAAAAAAATGACGTGGTTAAGGGAAAAAGGAAAAAAAGGGTAAACAGTAAAGAAAGAAAACTGGGAAAGACTTGGCTAGTTATTTCTTTTCTTTTCATTTTTCCCCAAAAACTTGGCGGAGAAGCTCGTCGCTTACCTTTCTCCATCTCCGGCCAACATCCGACTACCCGACCAGCGTTGATGTCCGATCATAGTGTAATCATGAAAGCCCACAAAAACGCAAAATCACACCACAGTTCTCACGCATAGTGACATTGTAAACCTTAATCCTCAAATCCAGAAACACAGTTGGTCGAAACTCCCACTCGTCATTGTTGACCACTCTAAGAGTCCAACTGAAGCGTGAAGAAGCAGCATCCATTTGATTTCAGAAGTTCGAGCAAGAGTCGTTGGCGTGCAAATGGATGGCCTGTTAGAAAGTAGATTCGAAAATCTCTTCTTCTTCTTCTTTTTTTTGTTAAGGGTGATTTTAATAATGGGAAGATGATTTTCAGAATATGTGGAAGTGTGGGTTGGAGTGGCTTTTGTGGGTTGTTACATACAAAGATTAGGTATGCTTTCACCATATCTTAGCTTTGTCTAAGGATGGCTGTGAAAGAATTGTCATCTACAGGTTGAATTGAATAAGCTGAATCATTGAATTGAACTTCAAATTAGTACTTTGATTTTGTTGTTTAACTGAGATGATTGTGCAAGTTCTTGATCTAACCAACTACAAGTACAAAGAGAAAGGATCATCTTCGACCAATAATCCCGCAGCTGAACCAACTTTCCAATTTCCAACCCCCATGATGTCCCATGAAGCGTGTTCAGGCGGTGTTAATTGTGGACCAGCAGCAAGTATATGCAATCAGTCAATTGCTCTTGATGTTCCAACCGAGTAAAGAGGAGCTGAAGAATTAAAACTCAGGCTGCAACTAGTAATTAACTGCATTGTGGAAGAATCTTTAGTCTTGTAAATGTTTAGCAGCAGGTGTGGTGATGGTTTTTCCCGGATTCGTGTTAAGAAATTCACTTCAGTGATGTGCATTCGTGTTAAGAAATTTAATTCAGTTGAAATGTCAAGATGTTATGCCTTCTGGTTTTCATGCACCCAGAACCTTGTGCTTAAAATGGTGAAAAGCTTGAACAAAAACAATATAGCGTTGAACGAAATTTTTCAACTTAAATTGGTGAAAAAATCAAGGCAATCTTAACAAAAGATGAGTAAATGACTTCACTAATACATAAACATTTGTTTATAAACATTAGGATATGCAAATCAAAGCAATCACCAATACATCAATTTCAACAAGTTGGCCAAGAAAATTCAGACACTCTACAAGGCTCTGTACACCAACAAATCGGTATATATATCAACAAATTGAGAGGTTTTAATTGATCAACAAGCTGAATCATCATAGTGGACAATCTCCATTTCTACTTCCTTTCCAGGCTCAACAATTTCTTCTTCTTCTTCTTCCATAATCGACATCTTGCTCCTCCTCATAACTTCCTTAAGTGTCATTGGAGAGGGTATCCTTGTCCTCGTCATCTGCAAAGTTTATAGTATCAACAACAAAAAAATCATGCCAGTCAATCATTGCCATCTGTAGCATCTCTTCATCTTTAGTTCTTGTCTCAAGACATTCTAGTCTTCTTCCACTCGGTGGATTTCTTCTCAATTCATAGAGAATTGCGAGGTGAAATGAAATGGGTTTGGGAGTGCAAGTGGTGCCGGCATGTGGTCGGCGTCGGCCGGTGGTGCTAGTGAACGGTTGGTGTCGGCTGGTGGTGATGTTGAGTGCTTGGGTTGGGAGCTTAGGGCCGCTCATGGTTGCGTACATGGGGAAAAATTGGAGCACAAATGGGTTTTTGTTTTTTTGGGGAAGACTACAGATTTTCTACTTAAATTAAACTAAAGAATTGCCAGCTCATATCTTTTTAAAATCCTGTACCTCTTCTGTGAAAAGCCTCCTGTACGTAAGGCATTATTCTTTTATAAATGCACTTCTTTCAAATGGTTTCATAAACTTTCAATATAGGATAGTGCATTTTATAAATGCATTTCTCTTCAATGATTTCGTAAACTTCAAATGTATGATAATGGCATACAAAAAATGTTAAAATAACTATCGAAATTATTTTTCAAATGTATGTTTAATTAACTAATTTGAGTTTGAATCCCAACTAACTAAATTGTAATATCCACTTTCCTCTTTTCATTTATTTAATTTTCAAATTTAACTTAAAATGCACTTGATTATTAATATATTAGTAACTATTTAACATATTGATTTTTAATTTTTGAAATATCGATACTAATTGTAGGATAATGAATCTAATAATTAATCTGCATTTTTTTAAAAAAAGTTATTATTTTCATAGTATTTTATTATTTTTGTATGTATTTGTTCCATCCAATTCGATCTCGGTTGAACTTATTGACCCTTAACCCGTCACCTTTTTTCGGGTTGATTTTCAAAACATTGATTTTAAAAGATTAGAATTGATTATTCTACATACATTTAATCTTCGTAAATTCATGTGAATTATGACAAATTTGGGAGGTTAATAGAAGATATTTTGAAACTAAATCAAACTTGGATCATGTAATTGGAATTGAGAATTGGGTTAGAAAGTTCTATTTTCTGATTATAAGACTTAGAATTAGATATGGCAAAAACACTCGTCCAACTTGATATCAACATGTCCTGCTCCGAAAGGAGCAAGGATTATCCGCTTAACCCAGTAAACGGGATAGAGAGGCGGGGGGTTGTTGTCCTGAAATTGGCAAGAGGGGGTACGGAAAACATAATTCCCGTTCCGCTATTCGCATCATTTAAAGTTAATTTCAAAATTTTAAAGAAAATGGAATTTGTTCTTAACAAAATGGGAAAAAAAAATAATAATATTCACTAAATAAGGACATAAAAAACAAAAGTAAAAAATAAAATAAATAAAAAAATAAACAGAGCAGTAAACGAGGTAGAGGACTAGCTCTGCCCTTCCCTTGCTTCGCTTTAATCGAGTATAGAAACGAGGCAATGTGACAAATATACCCAACGAGGTTGGGGGCAAAAATGATCGATCCGTCCTATACCAGCCATTTTGCCATCTCTACTCAATATCAAACCTAATTAACAAAAATTGTAACTCCCACGACATAATCCAGTGGTGCAAAGGACATGAGTGAAGTTATTTCACGCGTTGCTGGCAGCCGTAGTGTGGGGGTTCGATTTCTGAAACATGAAATTGGACTCTTTGTAGACGCAGTATATAGGCAGTTCTTGTTTCCTGACCTGTTAGGGCACATACCGTGATTTACCTCCCTCACAAAGTTTTAGATGCGGGGCGTTGGGGTTCAACCTCTCTCTCTCTCTCTTTTTTTTTTTTTTTTTAACAAAAATTGTGCTAGTCATAGCCCTAAGCTCTAGGCCGCAAAACCGTAATGGATGCTGCCAAGGGCACCAGACTTAGAGGAAAGTACATATAAATAGGTATTTAAGTTTTTCAATTTAAAAATCAGGTATGAGCTTTATTTAATTAAAAATCAAGTATTAATTAAATTATTAATAATATCTTATATCTTTATCTCCCTGTAATTTAATTGTGGCTTAAGATTTCTCTCTATCCCTTTCTTTTCTCTCTCACAACACTCACTTCTGCAACTCATCATGGCACAGCGACGACGACGACCTACCTTCGTGCGTGGTAGTTCATCACCACTGCACACGGTACACATCCATTCCTCCTATTCTTCCTCTTTTTTTGAGTGGTGCGGTGATAAACAGTCGGTGATGGTTTTGTGGTGTGGTGTTGGTAGAGGTGTGCAATATAGTGCGGTACAGTGTTGATTGTGATGGTTGGGTGCGATGGTGCTGTGTAGTGGTGGTTGGGTTCGATGGTGCTATGCGTGGCGATCGGGTTCGAT